ACAGTTAATAAAGAAAAAAAAGAATGACCAAAATTAGGTCATATCTATAGATATTTAAAAAAACCGGGAAAAGATAACTCTGTTAATGCGACGATATGTGAGAATTGGTCCCTGATTTCCCGGTCTAATTGAAGGTTTGTTTTTTTATGCGAAACACCCAAACGTCTTTAAAGGTGAAATGCGTGTATACATTCCAAAGTCCTTTTAAAAAATGACATCTTACCGAATTCCACGACAAACCAACGCAAGGGGTTTTTACAGATTGAAAACTTTATCATAAAAAATTTGGGGGTTTTTATTTCCCCTTTATGGAAAAAATTTTTTGATCAATATGTCTCTACATGGCCAAGGGGCCAAGTTAATAATTAGAAAAAAGCGTTACCAGCTGGTCAAATTTAAAACCCATTGTATCAAATTATCCAAATGAGGGTAGTTACGTTAGATTTGTTAGGTCCGTATTTCCCCAAAGAGAAAATGAGACGTAATCCCCAAGGGTTTTTGAATTTCCGATCATTTCAGAAAAAGGGCTGAAATTGTACCTCTTAAAAAAGGGTTGGCTCGTATAATAGCGGATATTTTTTTTTATAATTTTATATCGCGTTTTTGGGCTCCCAAAAAAAATTAATAAATGAAACGGTCCCCCAAATTTTTATCCGAAATTTTGAACATTTAAGGGAAAGATTAGGCATGGGCATGTGAAGACTTTTTGCATATAGACCTCAGGCAAATAGAACAGAACGAGTAAATCGCGATCTAGTGAAAATGATTGCAAATTATTTAAATTTATCAACACGATACTTTGGGGAAATTTTTGTGAGTTTGCTTACGCCATTTCCCTACAGCAGTGAATGAAAAAGACGGGAAAAACCCCCCGTGGAATTTTTTTTTTGGGTGAAAATTGATTTTCCCCATTTCCAAAAAAATTTGAATGGTTTTGGACGGGAAATGAATTTAAATAAAAATATTGAGAAATTGTTTGATGAATTTGACTAAAAAAAAAAACTAAACATGAAAGGTGGGAAAATTATTATAAATAGACGCAGGGGGATGTACAAATTAAGGTAGAGACTGGTCTTATTAGAGACACGTCCTTTTGCCCCGCAGCGAATAAGTTTTTCCGGGAAAATTTAAAAAAAATTTGAAGGTCCGTATAGAGTGTTAGAAGTAAAAAAAATAATAAAATTGTAATATGGAGGCCCGGAAAAAGGTTAAAAGTCAATGTTTGATTAAGTAAGAATATATCGTCATAGGAAATGTGAGGAGATTGAGTTAGGGAAAAGGGTCGCCGGAAAGTATTAGTTCACGTCAGGAAAAAAGAAAAAGTTTGGAAAAAAAGTACATCGGGAAAATCAAATGAGTCGGAAAAAGGGGAAAAAGAAAGGATCTGAAAGGGAAAACGTGAGTTAGAAGAAAAAGGGGGTAAAACTCAAGTCAAATCAATGTAGAAACACACGGGTAGGGCCGATAAAACGCGGATTACTTATCAGATCACTACCTGGGTCTTTTTTTATCATAAGACAAAATTAAAAAAACGCCCCGATAGAGCAGGAGATAAACGGGCGAAAGGATCTTGGGTCCCAAAGGGCCACAAAGAAAGTGGAAAAACGCGGACCCAAAAAATAAAAAAAAAGAAATTTTCATCAGATAATATTTTTTAAAATAGAATAAGAACCGAAAAAGTGGTTCAAATAAAAGAACTACAACGGGGGACCACGCAAGAAAAAGGATCAGGGGGTCCCCAACCCGGGCCCCTGGGAAAAAAAATCAAGTCAAAATTTGGGAAAAAACCGGGAAAAGAAAAATACAGACCCTACATCAGGCCCAAAATACGGGGTCAAAAAAGCACCCCGAGGAATGAGAAGAGGGCGAAAAAGTTACAACACCTTGTCAATGGAAGTCCCCGGGAGGAGACAATTTTTTAAAAATCAGGTTTTTTATTGTTTCCTTTTTATGTTCTTTTCCCAAAAAGTGGTCGGAAGAATTATTGCAAAGAAGGGAAATCTCGGGCGGTGTTTAAAAATTTAATCAAGCAAAAATTTACACTACAATGAAGTTTTTTTATTTTTTTTTTTTAACCCTTTTTACTTGTAAAATTTTTTTTCCTTTTAGTTGATGGAGGGAAAAAAAAATTTTAATCATGCATTGTTTTCTTTTATGTATGACTTCGTTGAGATGCAAATTTCTTTTTTATTTTTTTTAATGATTTATTGAAAAAAAGTTTGTAATTGTATAGGGGTTTTTATATTTTTTTAAACCCGTAAATGTGCATCTGGTTCAGGGAGGGCGCGGCGTATCAGGCTACTAACAATAACATTAACGGGCTGGGGACCTTTGGGAGTTTGACGGGAAACCCGTTGCGGGGGGTAAAAGTTTGTTTGGTTTTTAAAAAAGATATAAAATGCATAAAAATTGGAAACATACTGGTATTATGTGAATATTTGATTTTGCCAAGTAACTTAAAGAATTTTTTCGGGGGGAAAAGGGCCCTTTTAATTTAATTTATCCCCCAACTTGGAAAAAAACCCCGTCTCCGTCTCTTTGTAAAATCAAATGGATGGAACAAAAAACGAAAGATAAAATTGTATAGTAATTTGGAAATATTAAGAGTATTTAAGAAGTTAAGTTAGTTAAAAAGGGTATGGGACCCCGTTTTTTTTCCCTCCAAGTCAAGGATGGTTTTTTCCCGGGCCCCCGCCAAAATGAGGATACCCACATTAAAAAAAAAGTGAGAATATACCATGATTAAAATGCAAAAATGTTAATGGGTTGGGGCTAGTTAATGGAGTTTTTTTGTGTCTGTCCCAAAAGTTTAAATTAAGGAAAGGAAAAATTAAATTTAATTTTTTAAAATGAATAATGAAAATTAAAGTTAAGTTAAATATTTGGAAATTAAAAGTTAAAATGAAATTGGGTTTTTAAATAAAACTTGAAAGTAGGACGTTTTGGGGTTTTTTTAAAAACTGTGGTTAAAAGGGGTTTTTTTCGGGGGTTTTGAGGATTTTTCCCTTTTTATTTAATTGTTTTTTAAGGAAATTTAACCCTTAAAAATTTTTAAAAATCCAAAAAGAAAACTGTTAAAATAAAATAAAAAACCAAAAAACGAAATTTTAATAACCCGGGGTGGCAATTTTGAAATTTATTTTAAAAAAAATTTTAAACCACCCAAAAATCCGGCCTAACCAAAACCCCAAATACATATTCCCCCCTAAAAACCTTTGGTTGAATTAACCTTCAAAATTTAAAGGGAAAAATTTTTTTCCAAATTGGAAAAATTTTAGGATTGGAAATGGGGGGTTTAATTTTTAAAAACCGCGATCCATTTACCTTTTTGGTTTTTTCCTTTAAATTTTTTCTATTTTTGCTCTTTAAAAAATTTTCATTTTAGAAACCCATTTTGCTAAACCCCTTTACGATGGTTTGAATTTTAAATTTAAAAATTTCCCCAAAAAAAAAACGTTAGGGGTTTGTTGAAAAGGGGAGATGTCACATTTTTAAAATTTAAATTTAAAAATTTGAAAGTTTAGGAAAAAATTAAAGAAAAAAAAAATTTAAGGATGTAAATTTTCAAGGGGTCTTTAACCCTCAAATAAATCACGTTTTGCTTCTTGGAGGGTTTGTGACGGCTCACGCGTCCTTTCTCTAACATAACCTCTGTGTTCTTTGACGGCCAAGATTAATGGCAAATCTTTTCCAACGCAAATACAAGAAGTGAAACGAAAATATAGATGCAAATAAGATAGCCTTTAAAAGGACAGAAGTTTTAGTAAGCGGGATGGCAATTTAGAGAAAGTTCAGTTTTGGAAAAGGTAGAAGCGTAATTTAACGGCCTACCCAAGAATCACGGACATCTAGCCAATACTACAAGGTACATACTATTGCACTCGAGCCTAACTGAATATCTGAAGTTGATTGAACCGTTGCGGAAATTCAACTTAGGAAGATTATTTTCCGAATTCGAAATATTATTAGGATTGAGAGTAGGTGGATAATATAATTATTTAGATAAGTGATCAATTACGCGATCTGTGTGTAACTACATAGTGTTTTGGTTTATTCTCACTTAATATAAGTTTGTTCAATATATAAGTAATCTAAGTTAAACTCTTAATAAAAATTGTAAAATGCCTCTTCATTTCGAGAATCCCACACCTCTAACTTACGCGGAAACCCCACGATATGGTCGACAAAGATCGACCATATCACAACTATATATAATATAAATATATATATATATATATATATATATATATATATATATATATATATCATAATATATATATATATATATATATATATATATATATATATATATATTATATATATATATATATATAACCTAAATTTTACAAGTAAAACAAGAACAAGTCTGCTGATAGTTCTGAATTCAATGGGGAGCACTCGATCACATTTATCATGTGATCGTCATAAATTTAGCCTAGTTATATGTATGAGAAAAAACATTACAACGCACAAAAAAAAAATCTCTAAGATGTATGGTTGTAACGGAAAAAGTACCGTTTTCTGAAATAAAATTTTTATTTTCGTGAATTTTGCTTTGTGCGTGTGTGTGTCAGTAAAGCGTAATTTTCTACTCATTCTTCCCTTCCAGAAGGAAGTGACAATATTTAAAATAAAATAAAATTTAAAATTTATATACTTATTTCAATATCCCAAATATCGTCCATTAAAGTAACTTTTAAACAAGTAGTATAAAAAAATTAAGTCAATTCCTACTTAGGTCAACAAAGAAAAATTTTATTTTACTTTTTATTAAATAAGAACAATTAATATAAGTAGGTATATACATATGACAGAATCACAATATTAAGTGGCAAAATAGAATTCGATTTTCTTTACAATTCACCATTTTCCTTTTGATATATGATGTTGGACTATTATTTTTGTTTTTGTTTCTACGTTTTATTCATTAATTAAATTTAATTATTCCAATAAAATAGTATGCGTATAGTAAAAAGACATCACATTCTTAGAAACTCGGCTATCCCAGGCGGGATTTGAACCCACGCCTCTTGGATTCGAAGTCCAACGCGCTATCTATAGCGCTACAGGGAACCAGCGAGCGATTTCCCTTTTTATATATCGTGTTGGGCTGTTATTTTTGTTTGTTTCTTTTTATTCATTAACTAAATAATTAATGTGCGAACACGTATGTATTCTGATACAAAGTAAAAGGTCCTGAAGATACTCGATTTTTGCCTACTTTTTATGATTGACTTAATTCAATTCCTACTATTAGCTCACAATATCTCTCTATATATTTATTTATTTATTTATATTGGTGGAATTTTCTATCATTAATAAAATACATTTTAAAGCGCTCAGTTGAGCTGAAACTTTATATACATGATTATTTTGGATGGCAATACAGTATATATAATTGAATTATAATTATAGTAAAAATTAATTCATTAAAACTAATTATTCAAAGACTTATATAAATACAGCCACGTTGGCATCATTTTTGGCGACTTGTGTCAAAACTTGAAAAGGTCTTTTTCCCCTCACGTTTTAAAGCATTCACTTGAACTAAAATTTTATATACACGATTGTTTTGGATAACAATACGATACTTTAATGATAATTAATAAAAAATAATTACCCTTAACGTTGTGATATATACATCACATTCATCTATTTTTTACCAATATGGATGACTTCTTCTAGGTGTCTCGGTTTTTATGTTATATATCCGGGGTGGGCGTTAAGTAGATCACGATCGACCGGTGGACCGCCAAGACATTTTGGGGTGACCCCCTTTACTAAAAGCTAACACGCGCATTCTAAAAGAGCATCAATGGAACAACGACACCAACTAGACTGGAGAAACGGCTTTTCACAATTGATGTGGCTGACTTACCTGTGTGAATTTGCGTTTACAACGATGAATGTAATTAAGCCAGCATATTGCTCCCGTTTCACAGACGACTACTTAAAATCCAGTGCAAGATTAGCAGTTAGAAATTATATACCGAGAAATTCAAGATTTGCAGACAATATGCAGACTAAGTCTTCTACTGACTATAACTGCGAGTGTGAGTGAGTGAATTTTTATGTCGCACTATTCAAATACACTAGGGCTTTTGGCAACAGATTTCGTAATTTTGAACTATAGTCAAGTGACGAGGATGACACCTTAGCTGGCATCTCCCTCCTAACTTCTCACCACATCAACTGGAAGACATTGGAACCGTGACATATTTAAAGTGCCTCTGCATAGGCGGGTCTTCAGCGGTACTAGGCACAAACTCATAACACGTCAGCCACGAGTTCGTTACCTTGACCACTAGGCTACCAGAGCCACCTATAACTACGAGAACTAAATTTAAAGGAGAATGATTTATTTTGTAATGAATTGTTTGATAGTAAATGTATCATGTGATATTATTATATTTGTAGCTATTATTATTATATTCGTATCTTACATTTTGTTTTTAAACGTGGTTTAAAGCGTAGGTTTTTTTATTGTAATAATGTAGGTAAGTATATATTCTGTATTTATTATTGTCATTAAATATTGTTGACATTTTTTTAGCTCACCACATCTAAGCCATTAGGTGGACCGCAGCACCTTGTAAAAATTAGAAGTAGACAGTATGATTTACAGGTCTGCCCACCCCTGTTATATAGTGTACTTTAAGGGCACATGGTACGATTTACACAATTTTTTTTAATTTAATGATTTTTGTGAATTTTTTGGTTGCCTCCTATGTGTATGTATGTTGTAAAACAGAATTTTAGCTCAAAATTTCATAAAATGCCAACCATTTAATTTCTTATGGAAAAAACCTGAAACATATGTAGCGACTTTAAAATGCTACTTCTCCTACAAAAATTGACTCACATATATGGAATTTGAATTACAGGCACGTTAAACTATGCATTACAAATGTTGGTATGGGTTTTGTGATAATATGATTGGTATTTGTACAAAGTTTTTTTTTATGAATGCTTATTGAAAATTCCTTAAAAAATGTGGAAATTCTAACTTTAATGAATTTTCAAAAAATAAGTTTATTTGATTAAATTGTTTTAAATTTGTTCCATTACTCATTAAAACCCAAAAGCCTTGAAAATTTAATTTGTTTAAGGGTCCCCCAGAAAAAGTTAAATTTTAAAGGGACAACAAAATTTTTAAGTTTTTTAATTTTTTTTGAGGTTAATTTTATGTTGAAAAAAGTTTTAGCTCTTTTAAAATCCCAAATTTTAAAATGAAAACCTGAAATTTTACACTTTGCTTTTTTTAAAAAATTGATTTTAAAATTTTTGGGAAATTTGTTTTAAAAGAAACATCATTAAAATTTGGGGTTTTTAGATAAAAAATTAGATTTGAAATTTTTAAAATTTTAAAAAAATTTTGAATGTTTTATTCCCCTTTAATTTTTTAAATGGGTTGTGGATTTTTTATTTTACAGTCCCAAAAGCAAAAAAGTTCCTTAAGAACAAAATTTATTTTAAAAAAACCAAAGTTAAGGATAATCATTTTAAAATTTTACAAAATAAATAAAAAAATAGATAACTCCAAACAAGGTTAAATTTTTGATTTTACAAAAGACAAAAAAATTTTTAACTAAAAAATTGATTTGAAGCCCATTCCAAAAGATCCCACAACAAAATCTTCGGTTTTTTAAGTTTTCCTTTTGGGTTAAAATTTTTAAAAAACCCAAAACCCAGGTCTCGTAATCAAAAAAAAGGTAAAAAAATTTTAAACCCCCAAAACGAAAATTCATTTTTTTTTTTCGCCAACCTTTTTGAGTAAAAACCTTAAAACCCCAATTTCGTAAATTTTTCCCCCTTTGTGTGTTATTTTAAAAGGCAACCCGGTTTTTTCTAAAATATTTCCCCTTTTTATAAGTATATTCAGTTTTTTATTTTCCCCTTTTTCCATTTATAGAACGTGCGGTTTTCCCCTTTAAAAACCAATTTTTAATATAGGTAAGGGCATGCTTTAACAATTCTTCAGTGTTAATTTTTCCGCAAAATTTCAAAGTATTTTGAACAGGGCCACTAACCCCCTTTTAAAAGCCATATCAATTTACCCCTGAATAGGCCGAACACTTTTTGCCAAAAAATCATTAAGTTTGCCGTAAAATTTTTAGGTGTTTCAAAGCCCAAAAAACCCTATTTAAGCCTGTTTCAATTTTGAAATTTTGAAATTATTTTTGAAAAAGGGATTATTTCCCTCCTTTTATAAATATTTAGGTTTCAAAGAAACCTGGTTAAAACCTTTTTAAAAAACCCTGTTTTTAATTTTTTTGGCTAGTGAATTATGAATTTATTTCCTAAATAAGGTATGGTAGGGGCCCATTGGTTACCATAGAGTTAAAACCCGGAATACCCAGAAAAAAAACTTTTTTTAATATTTATTATAATGAAAAAATATATGCACATTTTATTTTTTTACTTAAAAATTTTTTATTTTAAAAAGTTTTTATTTTACCTAAGAGTTATGCAATATCTTAAAAATAATTAAGAATTGAAATTGTTAAAAAATTTATTCGTCAAATTTACTTAAATATTTAGGATTTGAAAGAAATTTCAAAATGAATAAGAATATATCAATAAATTCTGAATAAAGATCACAAAAAAAAAAGTATTGTTTATGTACATGTGGTGACTTAGTAGAATTTTATCGCGTTCTAAAAGGCTACGCATTAACAAAATTTAGTTTACAGATCATTAGTTGCACAAAGTTATTAGTTAATAAAAATTTTTTTAAAAAACAGATCAATATGGGGAAGAATAAAAATTCCTTAATACAACTGAAGTAGACTTTTTTTGATGCACTGCTGCCATCTGTGTAGGAAAATTATAAACTTATATTGGGTGCAATGATTAAGTAATAAGATACCGTGAAATAAGTGAGTGATTTCGCCAAATCATTCGGTGGTATCGAAATACACGCGAACTCTTTCACGTAACATACCTTCGTCAAAAACATTTTTAATATATATTTTATGATAGCATTGGAAATTTTATCAAAAAAGAGTAACAAGTTTTTTTAAAAACAAAAGTAACAATAGCTTATTTAATAGATTTTTAAAAAATTGAAAAAAAAGGAAATAAAAAGAATTTTTAGAAAATATAGCAGATTCAAACAGTTTATTGTTAAGGTAGAAAACTGTGAAGTCAGTAAGTTTCAAACATTTTGTATATTAGTAAAATTTTGCTACATTTAAATAATATAATTACTTTTTATTGACAATATAGTAGACTCTTTTCAATTACATATGGATTCACAATATAGGAACTAATTGCTACATACATTTTATAATTCCTTATTTTTCGCTTTTTTAAAAAAAAAGCATCAATATTTATCTGTTGAATTTTAAAATTTTTCCATAATTTTTTTTCCTTCTTTGGTAACATTTAAGTTAAATTTAGAAACGGTTTTTTGATTTTGCTAGAATTTGAATTGAATCCCTAAATATATTGCTAACATTTAATTCAATCAGAAATCACAAACAACTAAATCTCCAAGCCCCAATAGGTCAATGGTGGTTCAGAAATTGAACGATAGATGGCAGCACAGCTTAACTGAAAATACCACAAAATTTTCTCAGTGTCGGGAGATACTTAAAAATTAAAAGGTACTTAAACAACCCTTATTATATATATAAATAATTACATAGCTGATAAAATGTCATATGTTATGTTGATCAATTTTGCAGAAAGTAACACTCCTTTTGTAACTGATAAGTGTATTTATTAAATAAATTAAATTTAAAACCTTCAGCTACTTAGTGTATTTTCCGTGAAATTTTTTTAGATAAATATACCAACAATTGAAAAAATCTCATTTTATTAAACAATTAGTTCTTCTAATTACATCAATATTTATTTTGAGCCATTATTACTGATACTAGTTTTGACAGCTATACTGATAGCTATAATGAAAATTGTGAAAGTTATCAAATATATTTTTTAAATTTGGGTTCAGAATAATGTAGAAGCAACAAATCTGAAATATTTTCACTTGAATTAACAACCTCTTACATTTTAATAACGAAGAATTTCATTTGTTAAGAACTGACCTTTCCTAAAAAAATAAATTG